CGAGAAGAGAGAGAGAGAGAGAGAGAGAGAAGAGAGAGAAGGAGAGAGAGGAGAGAGAAGAGAAGAGAAGAGACCAAAATTAGTACAGACAGAGACCAAAAGCAGAAGGGAAAAAGAACAGAGAAGATAAGACGATATTGTTCAAACAGCAGTTTATGTTGCAAGATGAGAAAGAGAAATAGTAAAGTAAGTAGGAGAGACCAAACAAACGATCAAAGAAAGAAAGAAAAACATCAACACACAGACAGGGAGAGCGTGAAACAGACAGACAGACAAAGATGGCCACTTCCAATTATTAAATTCCCCGCGCTAGATTAATCCCATTTTCTCTTTTAATGTGAATAGAAAACCTTGGCAACTCATTATACAATTGTTCCTCTAAAGGGGCATGTGGTCTTTTTTATCATCTATTTTCTCTCCCTTTTTCTTACATTATATATTCAGTCACAAAATATTGTAAAATATTTATGATTCCGATTAAAAATCCTTTAAACTTTAACGAAATAGAGAGCTGAGCGATCCAGTAGAGTTACCCCTTTAAAATCTGAAGAGGGAGAAAATGTATAGAAAACGGGTGCCGCCCCAGTCGGCCATCCCTTATTCTAATTAATTAAGCAGATGGGATATGGATGTAAGCATCATTATTATCATATAAATAGGGTTCCTGCTTTTATCTTGCCACAAAGAGGGGCGGTGGGGGGGGGGAGGGGAAAGAAATACTTAAATGGGCGGGAAAAAGGGGCGGATAAAACGATAAGCATCTTCGCCCTTATTGCGGCGCGGGTTAAGGTCGACTCTGGCTTGTCGCGTGAGCTTTCTCGCCCCCTTTCTTCAATATTTTGGGTTCGGAGTTAATGCCTGGGTAATTTCATACATATGCTTAGTTCCGAATTAGCTCGAATATTGCACGAGCGAAATTACATACGCTTGAATAGATTGATTAACGAATGCGATTGAGATATAGGGGGAATGAGATAATGGGGTTAGTGCTCTTTTGTCTTTTTCTTCCTCTTTATCTTTTCTCTCTCATCTTCTTATTCTCTTTTTCTTTCTTCATTTCTTCTCCCTTTTTTCTTTCTCTCTTTCGACTTCTTTATTTCTCTTTCTCTCTCTCTCTCTCTCTTCTCTCTCTCTCTCTCTCTCTCTCTCTCTCTCTCTCTCTCTCTCCTCTCTCTCTCTCTCTCTCTCTCTCTCTTCTCTCACTCACTCACTTTCTCTCTCTCTCCTCTCTCTCTCTCTCTCTCTCTCTCTCTCTCTCTCTTCTTTCTCTCTCTCCTCTCTCCTCTCTCTTCTCTCTCTCTCTCTTTTCTCTTTCTCTTTCTCTTTCTCTTTTCTCTTTCTCTCTCTTTCTCTCTCTCTTTCTCTCTCCCTCTCTCCTCTCTCTCCCTCCCTCCTCCCTTCCCCCTCCCTCCTTCCTTCTCCCTCCCTCCTTTCCCTTCTTTCCTCCTCCTCCCTTCCCTTCCTCCCTACCTCCTTCCCTTCCTTCCCTCCTCCTCCTCCTCCTCCCTTCCTCCCTTTCCTCCTCCCTCCTTCCCTCCTTCCTACCTTCTTCATCCTCCTCCTCTCATCTTCTCTTCTTCTTCTACCTCTTCTTTTCTTTTTCCTCCTCTTCCTTCTTCCTCCTCTCCTCCTCCTCCTCCCCCCTCCTCCTCCTCCTCCTCCTCCTCCTCCTCCTCCTCCTCCTCTCCTCTTCCTCCTCCTTCTCCTCCCTCCTCCTCTTCTCTCCTTCTCCTCTTCCTCCTCTTCCTTCTTCCTCCTCCTCTCTCTCCCTCCTTCTTCCTCCCCTCTTCTCCTCCTTCCTCTCCTTCTCCTCCTCCTCCTCCCTCTCCTCCTCTTCCTCCTCCTTCCCTCCTCCTCTTCCTTCTCCTCCTCCTCTTCCTCCTCCTCCTCCTCTTCCTCCTCCTTCTCCTCTTCCTCCTCCTTCTCCTCCTCCTCCTCTCCTCCTCTCTCCTTCTCCTCCTCCTCCTCCTCCTCCTCCTTGCTCACCTTTCACTTACTCTCCAAATCATTAAATACCTAATGAAAGAAGCTCATTAAGGGAGCATTAATTAGTTCATCCCTGGGTCTTCAGTGTGCTGTTGCAATTAAGGCTGCTCGGGGTTATCGAATGAAGAAATGTTGCAATCTGTAATGTGTGTGTGTGTGTGTGTGTGTACGTACGTGCGTGTGTGTGTTTGTGTGTGTGTTTGTGTGTGTGGGGGGGGGGGGTTGGATGTTCGAGACGTGTGTGTGTTGTGGGGGGGGGGGGGGGGGGGGATGTTCGAGCGCTGTGTGTGTGTGTGTGTGTTTGTGTGTGTGGGTGGGGGGGGGGGTTGATTTCGAGCGTGTGTGTGTGTGTGTGTGTGTTTGTGTGTGTGTTTGTGTGTGTGTGGGGTGGGGGGGGGGATGTTCGAGCCGTGTGTGTGTGTTTTGTGTGTGTGTTTGTGTGTGTTGTTTGTGTTGTGTGTGGGGGGAGGGGGGGATGTTCGAGCGTGTTGTGTGTGTGTGTGTGTGTGTGTTTGTGTGTGTGGGGGAGGGGGGGATGTTCGAGCGTGTGTGTGTGTGTGTGTGTTTGTGTGTGTGTTTTGTCGTGTGGGGGGAGGGGGGGATTGTTCGAGCGTGTGTGTGTGTGGTGTGTTGTGTTTGTGTGTTGTGTGTGTGGGGGAGGGGGGGGATGTTTCGAGCGTGTGTGTGTGTGTGTGGCGCGCCGCGTGTGTGTTTTGTTTGTGTATGTGTGTCTGCGTATGTATGTGTGTATGTGTGTCGTATGTGTGTGCGTATGTAT